AATGAAACCACAGTAGACATTGCAGAGTTTTTTTTTTTTTTATTCTACTCACTTTGATTTTCAAAGTGCAATCTTTAGATTGAGAGCTCTGTGAGAGGATGTTACGTTATTTTAAAAAAAAGGTTAATCCTTCCCCTTCTCCCCCCCCCCATCAAAACATTGCTGTTAATTTTGGGCCTATATTGATCTGAAAGTCCCCCTTTAAATAATAACTTATCATTCTCTGTATAATGGGATGATAGTGAAGTGCTAGTTGACTTGAAACTGAAGTTGTGTCAGGGCACTGGGGGAAAGGGTTGGTCTAGAAAGATGTTTTCCATAATTGGTATTTTGTTGGTAGTGCAGCAAGTCTTCATATGCAGATACAAGGTAAAATATGTAAATACAGACCCCATGCTTGATTCAAATATACCCATGATGGCATATTTGGTTAATAAGATGGGTCAAATCCTAATGAAATTGGAATAAATAATCTCCAGAAGGCCCTTAACCTGGTCTTACATTAACTTTGGAAAATGTTTAGTCTAAGCATGTGACTAGCCCAATGATTTTGGAAGGGATTATTCACATGCTTGAGAGTTGAGCTCTGGGGCATACTATTCACTTTAACAGGTAGCTGTGTAAACCAATTAGTATCTGTCCATTTCTCTCTCTTTGTCATATCGAACTCTTTCTCGATTATTTATTTTTGTACCTGTTTAAGGAATAAGGGTAATAAAGCTGCTATTTTTTAAATCCTTTTTACTGGAAATCAGTGGGAGAACACCTTTCTAAATTAGGTCTGTGCATCTGCACTATAAATTTACTGTGCCTTGTTATTCAGCAGATGCTTTTACGTTCTAGGGTGGCTCTTAGACTATTTTTTCTCATTTTATTGTATTTTGTTGTTTTAAACAAAATTGAAGGATTTATATAGAGATGAAGACTGACAGTTGTTAGTGACACTTTTTTTGACACGATTAGTTCAGGGGCTTTTAAAATACGTTGAAAAGAGGAAGTGAGAGCTGCATATACCATGAAAATTTAAGCCATTTTATTTATATTTAAGGGTATATTAAATATATATTAAAGTTGGAATTATTCAGTTAAGAACCTAACCACTAATAAGGCCCCAGATGGACTCTCAGGTGTTTGAAATTGGGTTGCTAATTCATTTAATGTTTTTGAAGTCCTCAGTGATTTATGCCATGCGGAGTTACTGATTTTTCTTTTTCTTTTTTTTTTCACACCAGGATAAACTATTAGGGATGACAAATTCTGAACACTAGATAAAAGATTTACTGCTCTCCATTTAAAAAACATATATATATATTCTGTAAGGCTGCTTGTTTAGGGGATGATACTAGTTTCAGGAGCTCCTGTTAATCATGACTACTCTGTGGTAATTGAGAGCCTGCAACTTCAATGTGTGCTAAATATCTGGGAGTGTTGTTAACTCCAACCCTTCTATTGTAGAATGTGGGGTGAGATTTAATGGCTGCCTGGAGCAAAGCTTTTTTATCTATGAAAATTACCAACACAAGCAGTAATTCTTCAAAAACAAAATAATTGTTCCTTTAACAGAAATTAAAATTATAGTGGGTTTAGTAAAGCAAGAAAATTGCATTTAAGAATTTGTATAATAAAGCAATACAGCAAAATGAGACACAGACTGCCTAAAGTATGTAACACATACAGAGGACTCAGTATTCCCAATGTAATAAGCATATACAGATTCTTCATATACAAAGGCTTTTGTCTTAGATTTGAGAAGATTTTTTTTTAAATGCTAGTCTTAACAGTTAATTTTATTTGACATCCAGTGAGCCCATGATCAGATAATCACAGGATGAGTGGGAGGAATCTCACTCAAACACCGGCTTCTAGATTTCTTGACAAACATATCCAGGTGCTCCCTAGCAAAACACAAAGAATTAGATTTTCAACCTCACTCAGAATCCCTCTGATTTGGTGAAGGTCCCTCTACCCTGTTAATATTAGAAAAGACTGTGTCAGTGCTTGGAGATGAGAGATGTTGCTGCTTCTGCAGGTAGCTGCTCTGAAATCTGTTACCGTGGTGACCAGTACACTGTTATCACTGCTGCTGTTTCCTAAGTCTTATGCTTTTTATAAACCCCAAAACTCTCTCAGAAGCCTGCTGGTTGTCCATCCTTTTATATATTGTTTGCGCTCTGTCAGCTTGTTTCAGCCAATCAACTTCTACATATTAGCATATTTGTACTTCCTGTCTTGCTCTTCTCCCTGACGTTATCCTATTTATAGATAACTAAGCTCCTCCCTCTGATGCCATCTTGGGTTGAGCTCCTTCCCCTAATCTATTTTAGATAGCTAAGCTCCTCCCCCTGAGTTGAGGAATTTGTTTACTTTCTAAATTTAAACTGTTTCCCATCTCTGCCATTTTAAGAGCAGTGCCATTTTAAAAACAGTGAGCAGTCCTATGGCACTTTAAAGACTAACAAATATATTGTATCATGAACTTTCGTGGGTTAAACCCACTTTATCAGGTTCACCTACCATTTTAGTCCACTATGTTGGATCTTCTAATTTTAAAAATATCATTATTTTTTACTTTTATGCTAATCAAAGTGTCATGATACTGCCACTAGTTTACTTGTATCAAATGGGTGAGGTGAAATTTTTATGATTTAAATCCCTCGGAGGTTTGTCTGCAAGCCTTTATTACGGTGCATCAAGGAATCTTAAAACATCCAAGGCAAAAATCTCATTATACTCCTTCTGAAATGTTCTAATTAGTTGTCACGTATTGGCTGGAAGTAAGTATAATCCACTGAGTAGCAGATTCTCTGTGGTCAGACTTGGATGAGCAGTGCTGAGAACATGAGTGAGCTGGTTATGTCACTTGTAATAGGATTAGAAGCTTCATTTAGGAACAAGACTAGCAAAAAATCAGTTCATCTGTTCTTCTTACCAGTACCTCAACTTTTTAGCATATATGAATGTTGCCTGGGCATCACATCTCGCTTTATTTTTTGATCTAAAGGTTTTTTTGTGTGTGCGCATGCGTGTATGTGCCACCATTACCATGACAGTCTGCTTTTTGCTATAGTATAAAGATGCCAGCTAGGTTACACAGTCAACTTGTTCCCCAGCAAGTAATTTCAATGTGCTGTAAGTTATAATTAAAAAAAAAAAGTGGCAGCATTTAATTAGTTTACCGTAATCACTCTGTGGAAGAGCATGCTGCAATGTTTTATTTGTACTTGAATACTAATGATTTCTAAACAAGAGTTCTTAAAATACCTTCTCCATTTAATTCTTTCTCTTTCTCATCCCAGATTTACCATCAAAGATGTCCTTTGGGAGAGACATGGAGCTGGAACACTTTGATGAGCGTGATAAGGCACAGCGATACGGCAGAGGGTCACGGGTAAATGGTCTGCCTAGCCCTACCCACAGTGCCCACTGCAGCTTTTACCGAACCCGTACTCTACAAACCCTCAGTTCTGAGAAAAAAGCAAAGAAAGTTCGTTTCTATCGCAATGGAGACCGGTATTTCAAAGGGATTGTTTATGCCATCTCCCCTGACCGATTTAGATCTTTTGAGGCCCTGCTGGCTGATTTGACCCGAACTCTATCTGATAATGTGAATCTGCCCCAGGGTGTGAGAACAATCTACACCATTGATGGTGCCAAGAAGATTTCTACTTTGGACCAGCTAGTAGAAGGTGAATATTTAAGAGGCAGGGTATAAATTTCTTGTCTGTATCACTACTTTATTTTACCACTGTTACATTTGCATCAATGCATGTCTAACATTTTGCATATTGTAAGCTGCTTCATGACAAACTTTCCACAAATAGGAGGAGTACATGGTATTGTGACTCAGGTTATTACATAGGGTTTTCTTGTCTCATTGGAGGGAACTTGCATCTTGAATAGAGCTTGAAGAATATTACCGTTTTACTTGTACTGAAGGAGAAAGATATTGTCTCTGTTTGAGACAGTAGGTTCTGTATTCCTTGCTCGTGCGGATTTCTGCCTTTCTCCTCCTTTCATGAAAAGTCTCTTATTTTGACAACTCCTAATTTCAGCAGATGTCCTCAGTGATACAAAAGGCCAGTACTGTTGGAGTTTAAATTTTTTTTATCACTTCACAGTGAAGACCTCTGCAGTAAATGTCTTACCTTACGCTAGTGAAGAGTACTCCAGCTATTTAACTGAAGTAAAAGTAGGCTCTATGGTAAAGGCTAATATCACTCCTACTCAATTAGGGCCTATTGTCTGAACCATAAATTACCATTTTATTTCTCCCTGCAATGCAGTGATGATATCAGACCCATCAGCTGTGGAATATTCATTGTTCCCTTACAGAGCAGCAAGTTGTATAGCCCATGGAGCTGGAGCTCTAGCAAATTCAGCTGCAGGTCTAGCCCGGGGTGGGTGGTAATTTTTGGTAGGGGGCAGTTCACGTTATGATTTTGGAAAGTTGTCAAGGGCAGCACTCTTCCATGACCTTAATGGAGGAGGTACGGAATCTGGGATGGAGGCTGGGTGCAGAAGGGAGCTTGAGGAATGGGATTTAGGTGCATGAGGGAGTGTGTGTTCTGAGAGGGAATTTGGGTGAAGGAGACGGTTGTGATCTGGATCACTGAAATGGGGTGCAGGGGGTTGGGGTGCAACCCTGGGCAGGAGGATGGGGTACAGGGTCTGGGAGGTGGGTATGGGCTCAGGAGTGTGACAGAGGATTTGGCTTATGTGGGGTAGAGGGTTGGGGGAGGGAGGAGCTGGGGTGCAGAGGCAGGCTCAGGCTGGGAGACTTACTGGGTGACTCCTGGCCAGCAGCCCAGGATGTTTCTCAGGCAGGCTCCCTGCCTGCCTTGCCCCTGCACAAGCTGCATGCACTGTGTGGGTTGGTGAATAAGAGCCTGAGGGGAGGGAGGAGTGGTGCTTTGTGCTGCCTGGTCTTCAAACGGGCAGTATCAATTGGCCAGAAATTGGCCAATGGGGTTGTGCTGGAGGCGGAGGCAGCATGTGAAGCGCCACTTCTCCTCCCCTGACTCCTGAGCTCATAGCTAACAGACAGAAATGGCTGCAGCAACTGCTTTTCTCAGTGGTGTTGGGGGCGGGGCAAGCAGGGAGTCTGTCTGAGGTTCCCTGCTGCATCTGCAGGCCGGATCCAGTGGCTTGGTGGGCAGGATCCGGCCTGCAGAGGGTATTTTTCCCAGGCCTGATTTAGCCTCACCAGTGTTGGAGCCGGGTCTCTTTCCCAGCTCCACCTTGCATGCCTCCCCCAGGGTCCTTCCTCCTTCATCTGCACTCCCCCAGCCTGGCTCTAAGGGAGCGGCACAGGAGGCAGGCTGAACTGCTCCTGCAAAGGAGGGGAGGACTCATTCCTGAGACATATGGTCTCACCCCCTTTACCTCCAGCAGATGATTCCTTTCTGGGGTTTGGGTGAATGCCAAACTGTGTGTGTGTGTGTGCGCGTGTCCCTGAGCTGGGTGAAGTCCTCTGGCCCCAACTTCAGTGCTGCCTGCTTGCTGTACTCCAAAGTTTAAACTTCTCATTCCTAGTGCCAGAGCCCTCATCCCCACTCAAAATCTTGCACCCTAATTCCTCTGCCTTAATCCTGAGCATGGGACCCCAACCCTCCTGCCTCAACCCTCAATAATAATAATAAGGGATTCCAATTATCCCCATATTGATTGGGTACATGTCACCTCAGAATGAGATGCAGAGATAAAATTTCTCAATGCCTTTAAATAACTGTTTCTTGGAGCAGCTGGTACAGGAACCCACAAGGGGAGAGGTAATTCTCGATTTACTACGTAGTGGAGCGCAGGATCTGGTCCAGGAGTTAACTATTACAGGACTGCTTGGGAATAGTAACCATAATATAATAACATTTAACATTCCTGAGGTGGGAAGAACACCTCAGCAGTCCAACACTCTGGCATTTAATTTCAAAAAGGGGAATTATGCAAAAATGAGGAGGTTAGTTAAACAGAAATTAAAAGGTACAGTGACTAGAGTAAAATCCCTGCAAGCTGCATGGAAACTTTTCAGACACCATAATAGAGGCCCAACTTAAATGTATACCCCAAATTAAAAAAACCTAGTAAGAGACGTAAAAAAGAGCCACTGTGGCTTGGCTTGACCATGTAAAAGAAGCAGTGAGAGATGAAAAAGTCATTTTTAAAAAAAGTCAGTCCAAATCTAGTGAGGTAAATAGAAAGGAACATAAACACTGCCAAATTAAGTGTAAAAATGTAATACTCAATCTTTTTTGGCTTTTCTTAACAGCGAGCCAAAAACTGAAAAAGTAATAGCAAAATGTTTAAGTACATTAGAAGCAGGAAGCCTGCTTTAAAAAAAAACCAGTGGGGCCCCTGGACGATTGAGGTACAAAAGGAGCAATCAAGGACGATAAAGCCATTGTGGAAAGACTAAATTATTTCTTCACGGCTGAGGATGTTAGGGAGATTCCCAAACCTGCACCATCCTTCGTGGGTGATGAATCTGAGGACCTGTCCAGGATTGAAGTGTCGTTAGAGGCGGTTTTGGAACAAATCGAAAAACTTAACAGTAACAAATCACCTGGACCGGATGGCATTCACCCAAGGGTTCTGAAAGAACTCATATGTGAAATTGAGGAACTATTAACTGTGATTTGTAACCTATCCTTTAAATCAGCTTCTGTACTCAAGGGCTGGAAGACCACTAACATAATGCCAATATTTAATAAGGGCTCTAGAGGCAACCCTGGCAATTACAGACCGGTAAGTCTAACGTCAGTACTGGGCAAATTAGTTGAAACAATAGTAAAGAATAAAACTATCAGATGTGTAGAACAACATAATTTGTTGGGCAAAAGTCAACATGGTTTCTGTAAAGTGAAATCATGTCTTACTAATCTGTTAGTTTTTTGAAGGGGTTGACAAACATGTGGACAAGGGGGATCCAGTAGACCTAGTATACTTAGATTTTCAGAAAGCCTTTGACTATTGTACATAGTTCTCTGAAAACATCCACACAGTATGCAGTGGCAGTCAAAAAAGCAAATAGGATGCTAGGAATTATTAAAAAAGGGATAGAAAATAAGACTAAGAATATCTTACTGCCCCTATATAAAACAATGGTACGCCCACATCTTGAATACTGCATACAGATGTGGTGGTCTCACCTCAAAAAAGCTATTTTGGCATTAGAAAAGGTTCAGAAAAGGGCAACTAAAATGATTAGGGGTTTGGAACAGGTCCCATATGAGGAGAGGCTAAAGAGATTGGGACTTTTCACTTTAGAAAAGAGGAGACTGAGGAGGAATATGATAGAGGTATATAAAATCCTGAATGGTGTGGGAAAGGTTGAATAACTTTTCTTTATTTAAAAGGACACCAAATGAAATTAATGGGTAGCAGGTTTAAAACTAATAAGTTCTTCTTCACACCGTCAGCCTGTGGAACTCCTTGTCAAAGGAGGCTGTGAAGGCTACGACTATAACAGACTTTTAAAAAGAGCTAGAGAAATTCATGGAGGTTAGGTCCATAAAAGGCTATTAGCCAGGATAGGTAAGGAATGGTGTCCCTGGCCTCTGTTTGTCAAAGGCTGGAAATGGATGGCAGGAGACAAGTCTTTTGATCATTGTCTTCGGTCCACCCCCTCTGGGGCACATGGTATTGGCAGACAGAATACTGGGCTAGATGGACCTTTGGTTTGACCCAGTATGGCCGTTCTTATGAACCCCTCGCCCTGGGGTGAAGACTGTGGCATGGGGCCCACACCTCAACTCTGCTCTCCCAAGAGAGATGGGGGCGTGTGTGTGTGGGGGAGGAGAAGGGGGGGCGGAGACTTGTACTAGTTCTGAGCTAGGGATGTAAAGCTTAGCTGGCTAACTGATTACCTGTGAAGCATTAGCCTTACTGGCATGCTTACTTGGTAACCAGTTAACTGGCAGCCCAGTCCCAGCTGGAGCATGCCCGCTGCCTCCCCACGGTGTGATTAGGCTATAGGCCCTCCTGCCCGCAATATGGCGCGTGTGTCTGTATGTCCGGAGCAGGGCCTCCCCTCCCCCAACTGCGGGATTCCAGACCTGCATGGTTAACCGGTTAAACTGCGCGCGTGCGTGCACGTCACTGTTCCCTAATGATAGGTAGTTCTGAATTCAGAGGCTTCTTCCAAACCAGGGCTCCCTCACCAAGTTTAGGGCACTGCTTCCAAGATACCTACTGACTTGTCTTTGACTTCTTACACTGAATAGAGAGAACAGTTGTCTGAGTAGAATAAAGAAACAGTTTACCTGGTATCTCTTCTCTTTTGTAGGCCAGTGTAATGGAGCTTCAGTTATAGTTCTGGAGTATACTAGTTTTACATTTTATCCTTTCATCTGTAACTTAAGTCCCAAAATATCATAACATTAGAGTTGTGCTGTCAGCCCAGCCTGTGCCTTGATTGTGTGAATGTATTTTAGCAAAACTTAAAGAGAAATCTTTGCCTTTGAGTAAAAAGGAAGAAGAGCCTTCCACTTTTTTTTCAGTGCTACTCTTAAAAATACCGTGAGTAATTCTGCAAATTTTGGTACTGATTTATTAACCTTTCTATTGTGAGTAGCTCTATTGATTTAAGGGGGTATTTATTATCGCTATAATGACTAGAGGCCCCAGTGTGTACTAAGTGCTACTATACCACCCACTTATGTTGGGATTTTTAATATCCTTGTGACCTAGAACT